ATGCTGGCACTGGTCGAGTGCTCGTGGACGAGGCTGAGAGCTTTGTTTTATTATTGGGTATACGTTCGAGGTGAATCGATAACCTCGATTTTTATTGCTTTCAAGACTATTCGTGGACCTCGTAATATACTCTTGAGATACGATTATCGTGATCCCTGAGAAATAATTGATATTGGTCTGGCTTGTTTTTCACCCTGAATATTCATTGATCGAACTGGAAGATTTGTAGATCCATTAGGAGATTACCCTTTCCAAATTTGTATCATTTATTTTTTCTGTACTATTTTTAGAAGAAAATATGTTCTTTTAACACCTTGAATTGAAATTGAATTGGTACCCAGGGTGACAAGAAAAAAATTATCAATCTTTTCTCACTATTCTGTATTCCCTTTGTTCCATCCACAGCAGAGACTTTTTACTTCTCTTCGTAATTTCAATATCACCGTGTTTCCCACCTTTTCAACGGCTACCCACACTCGATTTCTTGGAAGCTGAACGTGTTCCCGGAACAGAAGGCAGCAGCATGATTTACGAGCGGTAAATCGAGAGTAGCACTATGTTACACGCGTGTAACTCAGCCATAATCTACTGCTCCTATTCGAATCTCGAATCAGTCACGCATATTAACGAACTCGTCGCTTCGTTATCGGTCAGCATCGCGTACGCGGAAGAAACGCAACGTAATGATAATTAATGAAAGAAAAATCATCATCTGTGAAGAGTTTCTTAACGACACACGATTGTTTCCCGCGTACTCTCAAGGTAACGTCCACCGAGGATCCTTCACGCTTCAGGTACCAGAAGAACGCGTCTCGTTCTATTTAACAAATCAACGAGTTCAGGTAAAACAAGAGCAAAGATGTTGCCGAAGCAACTTTCTCCTGATCGGATTCACTCGCACGATCTGGGTCGTTGTTCCGCGAGAAATGCACTAAATGAAAAGACGATTCACTTTCGACGGTACCAAGTGGAAAATCATATTATTATTTTACTAATAAAAATTACAGTAATTTTGTAAGGTACCAAGAGGAAAATTTAGAAAATTAGGATTTTCGAAAGTGAATTGGTAATTTGAATTATTATAATTATAGCGGATACGAATATTTATGCGACTCATTATTAAAACACAAAAGTAATATAAAATTTAGAATTCTGAATTTTAATTAATTATTTTAATATCTTTGAATTATTACGAAAGAACCTTTCCATCGAATGGCACCACAAAACCCACATGGGCGCTCTTAATTGGAGCTAATTGACAGACCACCTTTTTCAGCTCGGTTGATGGTCCTTTTTATAGCTGACCGAAGATCAATGAGGTGCGGTGAAGGAAAAAACAACTGTTCCTACCAGGCTGGATCCCACCTAATCCAGCGAACTCGTGGAAAATACCTCCCGCGATCGTGAGTATCCTTGATCACTTAATCACCGTTCGATCGGTGTTCCTCGAAGGATACGTTCGAGGAGAATTTGTACCCCGAGACGTTCTAATGCGATCCGGAAGGGTAGCTCTTAGGATTTCTTGGCTTCGGATGGGCATTATCGAAACAGAAACTTGTTATCTTAATGAGCCTTAATTTGTTATCTTTAATAGAAGCTGACCGTGTAACCAGGAAAGATAATTCCTTATTTCCTTATCATAGCATTGATAAAGTTAAATTTTACTTCAAAATAAAAAAATAATATAATTTTGTAAAGGACTAACAATGCCGAATTTCAATAAATGTCAAGTGTCAAATTCAACACGTTCCCGAATAAAAAGGAAATTGTCAAAGGATCCAATGTACACATTCGACCCATCCAGCAGTGAAAGAAAAAGAATTCCTCCGTAACGGAGGGACGTGTTTCACAGGACACGTGTAACGAAGCTTGACAAAACGAAAGAGAAGGAATATTTAAAAGAAGAAAAGGTAGAAACAAATGCAGAGGCGCGATCCGGAACGAACGAAACTAAAGGTAAGAGGAATAAAAGGGGGAATACTGTGTCCCACGGCAGCCACGTCGGCCGGACCAAACAAACAATCTTTATCTCTTTTATGCCGCTCCTTATCTACACGGCCAAGCTGTGGAGACTCTTCTCCACAGTTTTCCCGTGGCAGCTTTCTGTGCCTTTTTCTCGCCCTACGTACGTGAAGAGGTCCTTTGTGTTCGCCGCATACTTTCTCACCGTGTTCGACCAGAGGGGAGAAAAACGAAGTAGAAGAAGAAGGTTAAAGAAATAAGAGGTTGCTGAAGCCACCGACGAAATCTCGAGCGGGAGGGAGAAAGAGAGAAAAAAAAAATGAGAGGGCGCGAAAAGGAAAGGTAGAAATGAGAGGATCCCCGGGTCCAACGAGGCTGAGCCCGTCTAGCCTGGAAAAATTTGAATAAATCTCGGTCGGAGTGCGCGCCACCGTTCTGAATATCATTTCGACGCTTTCCACAAACTATCCGCCTCTTTTCTCTTGCCCTCCAGACGAAAATGCCGGAGGACTCGATTACACTTCGCCAACCTGTGAGCCACCCCTAACACATAGAACGTCGTTCACGGTAATAAAGCTAGGAAACGCTTTATTATGAGTCATTCGTGGGAACCTTTGACATTACGCCTTCTGACGTTCACGTTACACGTGCGTGTGTCTCGCACGGACTGTTTCTGGAAAAACGCGATCGATCCACTTGGTCGACTTATTCGAATCATTCTCCTCTTTTTTTTTTTTGCTAACGCAAGAAAGCCACCGGACGTGATAGCGCAAATAAATTCTGTTCTAATTTGTTTCGCGGTTAAAAACGATTGAATGGAATGACTGTGAGTAATGGAGTGTATGATGCAATAATAGTACGCCTGAACGTGAAACAAGTACGGTGGAATAAAAAATTGTTCCAGATTTGACAGTGTGTAATATTGCGGAGATTGAAGAGAGAGTTGACTGGAGTATAATGATATTGGTGTTTAGCACTTTTACTGCAGTCATCTTTGCTCCATATTTCTATACGAAATTATCTAACTTGATATCCAAAGGTGAATTAAATATTTTTTTCAGATACACTAGGGTAATTTCGGTGGTATTTAAAGTGTTCTTTTTTTAATTATTCCATTGAATTGCATTCATAGCGTCAGTCAGCTGTGACCACCGCAGCAACGTGTTAAACCCGGTCATGCTTGTGTAATTCTCAGTTATTTGAGACCACCTACGTCGAGGAGAATTGATGCTTGGTGAAAAACTGAAAAGAAATTCACGCTATATGTTGCTCAATGAATTATAGCGGAGTTTGGAAAGGATTGGAACAAGTATAGTTTTAACCCTCAGGTGACTGGATCATTCTGAATCATTCACTCAATATGAAAACAGGAGGAAATAGAGATCACTTTTAAATAAATTTTTTGGGGTTCCTTATGAATATTCTGAAATCACAAAAAAAGCCCGAGGGTAGCCGAAATCGCGAGTCAGCGTTTGGATAGAAAATCTGAAAATTCCTGTCGACGATAGCGATTCAAACGACCGAGAAACGAACCATGAAGCTTTTTCCAGAAGGCGTAGGCGAAGATCTATCCTAGATTAACCGGGGATCGCGCGTGTGAAAGGAACACGTGACGCTTTGTGCACGATCTTCGCCTTTCTCCCTATATCATCAGCGAGATTTTCGATACCACCACCGGAGTACCACCTGTTACGTAAATACAAGCACCTAGTGGAGCCTCTTCACCGAGATGCAGCCAATTGATTTACGTCGTAATGGGCTACGAGGACGAATGGTGGCCTTCTCCAAAGAGGCTTTCCTCTACCTGGCAACCATTCAGCAAATCAACCACCACGACTTCAAGCGTTGTTCGAGCACGTGCACTGAATTACCAACGCATAATTCGATTCGTTCGCGTGATACCTTGCTCGAAATTATTCCACGAACGGGACTATACTTCCTCGAACACTTTCCTTCGATGAAACTTTCAATGGGTATCTAAGAAAAATTCTCACCTCTTATCTTGGACGGATTTCGATACGAAGGCTGGATGCTCATTTATGGAGACATTACTTCATGTGATTAATAAGTTGATGCATCATTGATGAGTGTACAGTGATTCATTAATTTGTACACGTGGCTATGATAACTGTGATCGTTGCACCGTCTTTGTTTCGTAAGGAAGAGAATCGTGAATTGAATAAATAATTCGATTTTTCTATCTAAGATAAATTAGATTAAGAATATTTAGAAAAAATAGAAAAATTCCTAAACACGTTAAACGTGTTCGATAGCGAAACAAGAATAGTACGAATGGCAAAGAAGGTACAAGTTCCAAGTAGCAATGCCACGAAAGTTGGCTTTATATCCGAGCCTATGTAAATGAGAAACGATCATTCAGTCGCGTTTGTAACGTCGTAGCACGAACCGATCGTGGGTGCACGTGTAAAATCGAGCAAGAAAGCACGCGCCCTGTTCTCGTGTTTCTTTCCAAGGGGGTTCTTTAAGCCCCCATGCGGTGCTGTCACGCGATAAGAAACTCGATGGCGGTTTACCGATTACCCGAGGCTAGCAAAGCAAACGCACGCTCCTCCTGACTGAATGCAAATCGACACCGATGGACGAAAACACAGAGTCTCTCTGTTATCGTACACCTTCAACAACGTTCCCGTAAAGAGGAAAATCCATTTGCGACTGGTGCGCTCGCGATTCATACGCTATTTCAACCGCGACGACTTTGATCGACCTCCTCGACGACGCTCCACGATTCCGCTTTTATTATCGAATTCAACCATTCGCTGTTCCCCTTAACTCCCACTTTGTAGCGACAAATCAAACTACTCGCTCGATGAATCGCGATTTATCGAGGATATTTCATTCGGGGAATAGAGAAATCGGTAACGATTGGAAATTTATAAAGTACGCAAGATACGACAAGAACAGACATCCACCGTTTGCCCTAATTTAATCTAAGGCCTTCGGATGGATCTTCTCTTACATTCCTTTAAACATAAAAGTATTACGCATGCAATGAAATTGAAATGAATAAAATGACTCACCGTTAAGATGCACTTATGACTGGGAGAGACGTACTCCAATCCTCTATGTCCCTCGCCGCTGAAGCACTTCTGTATGTTGGTCATGAACTTTCTCCTGATAGCCTTCAACGAGTAGACACACAGCGCGGAATGTTCCTTGGGCGAGTCGCTGTTGGTTCCGTTGCTCTCGGCGAACACTGCGAACAGCACATCGTCCTGTGCGGTGATCCCCAAATCACCGGCCAGTACCGATCCAGCTTTACCCACGTACGCGGCCTGTACGAGGTTGTAATATATGCCGTCGTTGGTGCAGTTGATCGGTATCTCGGTGTACGAGTAGTAATGCTCGTCGTCGTGGCATACCCGCACCAGCTTCGATATGTATATCGCTGTCTCGGTGTTCTTCATCTGGGTGGTCATGAAGTAGCTGAAACCGCCGCTGCTGAATCCGTACACGTAATTGATGGGATATCTCTCGCGGGCCAACGAGTTTATGTACATCCTGGTGCCGGTGGTGACAGCGGCTTCCGCGATGTTCAGCATCCTGTCCTTGTCGAGGGAACGGGAACTGACCGCGGGTACCTCGGATCGGTACGGCGAGTTCCCTGTAAAAGTCACGCCCACGTACATTACCTGGGAGACGGGGGGATTCGGTGGTCCGGGTGCTATGAAGGCGACCGTCGACGCGGTCGCGTTGTTCGCCACCACCGCCTCCTTCACTTCTTGCACCACGTCCGAGATGTTTTGAAGATTCCTGACCGTGCAGGTGCCCTGCGACAGGCTACCGCACGATATCAACCTGGTGGTCGTGTAGTCTATCACCAACGCCTTGTTCACGTTGTCCACCAGCCTCGTTGGCATCTCCCGGGGACAATCTATCATCGAGCATGCCGTGGAATCACCCTTAGGACCGGTCACTTCTTTCACCACCAACGATAGGTCCGGCGATAACTGATACAGCCGGTTCACCGCACCCACGTACACCCGGCCTGTGTTCTTGTCCACGACTAAATGGTTCATACGCTTCACCTCCGGATCGTGAAACCTTTGTACTATGTCGGCCGGCGTGGAGCGGACCGGCAAACGGGGAGACAACAGCACCAGGATCAACAGGAGCAGACGAAGCTGCTGTTGATGCGACAGCATCCATCCCATCCTCGTCGACGCCTCAGTCACCGGGAAGACTAGCATCTTACTATTCTACTGGCTAACGCTACGGGACACAACCTGTCGCCGCTTCCTTCTTCGTTGCGCCCGGGGATCCTCGCGGAGGCCTCTTCCTCGAGCCTCGTCCAGACCTGAAATCAAAGCCAAACACAAACATCAATATAATGTATTTTATAATGAAGATTCTTTAAATTGTTCATAGTTTATAATTCTAATTATTACCAGTTGAACAGGTGCACGAATTGTTCGAGGGTATGAAGACGTCTACCAGAAAGAGCGGTGTTAAATCAAGGGGTCTAGTATTTTCGCGAAGGTAGTCGATGTTTAGCGTGACTACACGGCCGTTTTACATTAATTGCGAGTTAGCACTCGACCAACGACACTCGAGACACGAACAACCTTCTACCGCGGAATAATTGCTCCGATTATCTCTTCAAACTCGAGGGGATTCGACCGATTGCACGCGAAGACAGAATGTCGTTGAATTCGAAATCGTATAATTATTCAAGATAATTTTATCAACTATTTCTTCTACCTTTCTTGTTTCGTTTCTTAATGAAAAAGAAACTTGGATTAGCAAGGTGTCGAAACGTTTAAAGAGGATACAAGCTTACCCCCTGTCCGAGGGGACATTATCCGTGATAATTACTTGAACGCGATCGAAAAGGTTTTAAAGTTCACGTGGGACTTCCTAAAAGTCAGTGAACGGGAAGGAAAAGTGCGCAAGGGAGAAGACGAGGGCAGCACGAAGCGGACAGAGGACAAGAACGTAGGGGAGGTCTCTGACAATTTATCGACTAGGGAAACCAGGTGCCTTTGACTCGAACCCCAACGCATGCTCCTCTTAACGAAATGAAACGCCTGACTTTACGCAGGACGTGAGAAAAAAAATATCTGAAAGAGAGAAGAAAGGCCCGACATCTTTCTGCTTGCTACATCGAGGGTAACGTTCAATCGTAACAAAAACTTTTCGTATTTTCTCAATACCCATCTTCGAACCCTGTCGACTCCCTTCCACTCGTCAATTCCAATTTATGGTACAATTACGAGGAAAAAGGGAAGGTCTGGCTTTGAATCTTTCCCCGGAATACTGGTTTTATTATTACCAATGTTATGTATTCTAATTTGGAAAAATAAAAGATTTAAAAATTACTTATCACTCTTCGAGTACTCTCAGAATATATGGAAAATGATAAAAAGAATTTTGAAACTCTGAAATGAAGTTTAGCCTTAGAATACGTGACTTATCATTTTTTGGTTCCGAGAATGACAAAGATAAATGCTATTCTTTATCTTCGACTATGATTTCAATGGAAATTCTTCATGCATTTCCATAAATTCTCAGAGCTACGATAAAAATTGATTTCCTACATAAATGCTTTTATAGAAGATTCACGAATAAATGCGTCATTGATTGACGAATGACGAATTATGATTAACCCAGTTTTGCAAACCGGATATCACATTCCTTACGAAGAACGATAAGTGGATTCGACGTTCGACGAATATAATATCGACTAATACATATGGAATAATGGATGATTGATAGGTGTCATCGTTACTATCGACAGAATTTAAGAAGCAGTCGGTTCGTGTTGAAAATATTAATTAAATATTTATGCAGCCATTTTCAACAAACTTTAAACTTCCAATTACCTTCTCAATTATTAATTTGAATTTCAATATCTTTCAATTAGAAAAAGGTATCAAATTAATGTTACACCTAATATCATAATCAAACTTCCTATTTTCAAAATCAGCCTATTATAATAAATAGAATAATTTTGCGTTTAGTAGTTCAAGTTTATCGTACAAATGTCTCTAGAAATGCCATGTTTAGCCGGGTTCTCTGCAGCTGAAGGCAGCGGAACAGCCTTGGTATACGAAGAAACACGCAACGATCGGGAAGAAACGTGGAAAGAGGATCGCGGCGAGTAGACAAGCAGATAAGTATCGAGATATCCGTAGGAACGCGTGATTTCACGTAGAAGGAAAAGCACGTCGCGGCAGGTATGCGTGCAGGTAAGATAGAGGGAACAAGAGGTGTGCACGCGCGTACTAAAGATCAAAAGGAAAGATGGTTCGCGTAGTATGGCCGCCGGTTGCTATCTGATGAACGTTCGCGTGCCTTTCTTCGTGGATTCCCATTGTCCCGCGGTGGCGACTCACGCACCTCTATGTAGGTTAAAACCGTAATTAACCAGCGTCTTAATTGCCGACAGTTTACACCAGGGTATTACCGATCTAACCGAGACGTCGTGACAGAAGGACTCTTACCCCCAACCCAGGCATCTCCACCGCCTGGGAAAATCAAACAACCGTGAAACGACGCTTTAATTAGCGTGTTTACCGGCGAACCGACCAAACACCGGACAGAAAAGTTTCTCGGATTAATCTTAGAAACTCGGCAAACCGCAGACACCGCAGAAGAGGAAGATGGAGGGGCTTTCATAGATGATACGCTTCATTCGAAGGAGGAGAAACTTTTATAGGATCAGACCGAAATAAAAGGGAAAATTTTAAGTATCTTTAATTTGGGAAGCGTGAAGAATTTAAATAGAGTATAAAATTAAATTTCAAAAAAGATACGTGTAATTTACAAAAAATAATTTCCTATTTTCAAACTTTGTAAATCTATGATATCTATTTTTTTTATAATAAATGGTTCTTTCTATTACTAATGAATCTCTTTTTATTATTATTACCATACTCGAATGACCAATAATTCACAAAAACCTCGTCCATCTTTCACAAACGAGAAAAGTTTTCCTAATTAATCCGGTGTCTCTATCCGGCAACAAGAGAACGAAAAAGGACAAGAGAGAAGTTTCGAATCGACACGCAGACGATACGGTCGATTCGTACATCAAGTAATTTCTGCATCGTGTGCACCGAAAGCCTGCGGGCAGAAATGGCCGCGCGTTAATTTTAATTACAAAGTGCGCGCTTTAATATGCACATTTATTTTAATGGAAAACCGGCGGGGCTTCCGTGCGATGCACTCGATAGCACATCCTACCATCTCCCCCTCGCTGGCCATATTTCATCATTTCCAGGGAAACACGGAGCTTTTACTTTTATTTACTTCGCTTGTTTTACATTCGCTTTATCCAGCCTTTTGTCAGCGCACAAAACGCTAAGCCCCGGAAATATCGGTGACCCAGTGCACCTACAATCGAACGATAGATGATAAGAAACTCCTTGTATTGTTAAAGTTTCGCATTGTTGAATGGAATATGAAGTCGATCAGCGTATTGCAAAGTATTTGAAAATTCCAATAAATTCCATGTTTATGACGGATCGACCTCCTTTTAAAGATACCAGATTTTGTTCGAAATTTTTGTTGCAAATGCACATTATTATTGATATTCCTTTTTAATATTTGGGAAGTCATCGATGATTGATATTGTGGACTTGGTACAATTAAAAAACTTAAATAGCAAATACCAAGGAAATCTCAAATGTTATTTTTCTTAGCTACTGGATTTGGTAATTAACCATACACTGCTATTATTAAGCCAAATAAAAAAGAAAAATTGAAATACTAATATTTTAAATATAACCATCTTCTAACCTTCGACCTCTATTTACCTAAATGGAACAAAGAAAAACGATCAGGAGGGTGTCGTAAGAACTCGAAAAGGGATCCCGAAAACTGCGAATCGATTTAAAGAAACGGCACTTCCGGAAGATTGGAAGGGACGGAATTTAAATAGTTCGACGATCGGTTAAATTACGAAACATTCTGGACTTTGTGTACGTAAGGGAAGAGGCCCGTTACAAACGCACGAACGTACCTTAAGGGGTAGGTAACTACCTTTTTAAGCAGCAGTTCCCGTAACGAATGCGATCGTTTGGTTAAAGCTGGGACGTGCCTACGTACTTTCAAACACAAACAGGAAAAAGAGCAAACCGAAGAGGAAGAAACGTGGGCGGATAACGGGAAGGAACCAAAAGAGGATGCACTGAGAAAGCTGCGATTCTTGCCTTTTTTTTCGTGATTATATGGAACTCTACGCTTTGAGCAAATTAAGAAATCCGAGAGGATGAAAGTAGAAGTGTAATTGTAATTGGAACGAGCAAACGGTTAAATGAAACTTAATATTTCATTTTGAAAATGTAGAAATTTATGGAAAAGCAAATAAAATTATTTTTATATCGTGGAGTACATGGAGAACATTTTTATTTTCCCTCCATTCTATGTTCTTCAGAAATTTAATTAATTTTCATAGAAGTGAATGAAATTTCATTTTATAAATACCTATGAAAATAAATTTCATATCTTTTATATTTTCCAAGAAAATCACCCTTAAAATTGCTTATCATTTTAAGGCCTTCAAAGTAGCCACACCCTTTGAGATAAAAGAATACACAAACAGGGAAGGAATACATAATTATTTATAGTCTGAAAAGAAACTTAAAGCCGCTCTGCAGAATCAAACAAGCGGACGAGAAACATTAACAAAGCCGTGAAACAGATGTGCAGAAGAACGTTATGACGTGGACAGTTAAAAGAGACTTAAAGACGTCAGATATAGGAAGAAGGAAACGTTCTCGAACGTGGGAAACACCTTGAGACAAACTGCCTTCTTAAGAAAAGTTCCTCTAACGAATGCGATCGTTCGCGACTAACTTGGTTCGACCTTAGCTAAGAAAAAAGTACCGAGAAAGAGGATATATAACGCAGGTCATCCGAAAGAAACGATGCACCAGTTCCTTTAAATCTTTCTGCCTGAGTCTCGCGTTGCGAAACTCTGATTCCTCATTAAGTAAATGGCTGAGAACAAAAAAAAAGAGAAGAAGCAGGCGGGAAGAAGTTGCGAAGTAATTTAAAGAGATGTACACAGGGTCTTCGGGTTGCTTTTCCTTCGACCCTGCAGCACGATAAGACGATTAGAAGACGTATAAGTTCTATCGCTGTGAAAGAACTTGCCTCGAATCCTTTGTTGTCTGAACAACTAAACGTCTTTGGATTATCTCCAGATTCAAGTTAAAGATTGCGACAATTTTTCTTGGAATAATTATAAATCTTGTATAATGAGATTTTTCTATAATTGTTTTGCTGGAGAATCTAAGATCGAGGAGAGCTGGAAATCGTTAGATTGAAGAAGGGCCATTTGACCATTAATAA